CCGGCTCCGGTCTCATTCAGTAGCGCGCAAGGGCGGGGGAGCAGAGACAGCCCCTGGCCGGTCACCCACAGGTAATACGTGTTATGCTGTCAGTGTGTGTGAGTGTCTGTCTGTCATAGTGTGTGTGTGTCATGGTGTGTGTGTGTGTCATGGTATGTGTCTGTCTCTGCCATGGTATGTGTGTGTGTCATGGTATGTGTCTGTCTCTGTCATGGTGTGTGTGTCATGGTATGTGTCTGTCTCTGTCATGGTGTGTGTGTGTGTGTGTCATGGTATGTGTCTGTCTCTGTCATGGTGTGTGTGTCATGGTATGTGTCTGTGTCACGGTGTATGTGTGTCTGTGTCATGGTGGGTGTGTGTGGCATGGTCTGTCTGTGTCATGGTGTGTGTGTGTGTGTCTGTCGTGGTGTGTGTGTGTGTGTGTCTGTCATGGTGTATGTGTGTGTCTGTGTGTGTTTTAAAAAGTGTTTTTACTCACCTTTTTTTTTCCATGCCATGCTGGTCTCCCCTCGACTGGCCCTGCCTCTGTGGCTGAGATCATCAACCTTGCCATAGGATTGGCTGCAAAACGCTACACCAATCAGCATCTCCCCATAGAGATGCATTGAATCAATGTATCTCTATGGGGAACCTTCAGCTTCTCCAGAGCGTGGAGGCCCTGAATATAGGTGTTGCACACTGTGCAGCACTGACACAGGAAGCACCTCTAGTGACCGTCTGAGTGACTGTCACTAGAGGTGTCACTCTGAAGCAATGTAAACACTGCCTTTTCTCTGAAAAGTCAGTGTTTACATTGAAAAGCCTGCAAGGACAGGCTATAGACACCAGAACCACTACATTAAGCTGTGTGTGTGTGTGTGTGTGTGTGCGCGCCTGCTAGTGAGCTTGCTTGCTTGCATGTATGTGTGTGTCTGCTAGTGAGTGAGCTTGTGTGTTTATGTCAATGAGCTTATGTATATCAGTGAGATTGTTTGTCTATGAGGCTGTGTATCAACGAACTTGTGTGTGTCAGTGAGGTTGTCTGTGTTTGCATGTGAGTATGCTTACTGTATAATTAAACGTTTTACTATGAAAGGACCAATATTTTATATTAGAAAAAGCAATATATATATATATATATATATATATATATATATATATATTACTCAATCATCTGGGGTGGCAAGACATAGCCTTACATATTACATGCAACAATATGTGGCGCATTGACTTATGGGGCTGGCATATATTTTTTTTCCAGGGCTGCTTTGTATCCCCAGTCCGGCCCTGCTTATATCCTCCACTACTTTGTTTGTGCCTGTCCAACTAGCAGGGGGTATTTCAATATCTGAGCTCCACTTTCAGTATTCCACAGCTGGACAGGAAGAAATAAATGCCTGTGGCTCTGTGAGCATAAGCACTTTCTTGCAAACAAACTCAGACAGTTGTGCCTGCTAGCAGACGGTAAGCGATCAAGCAGATAATTAGAGGAACACTATAGTCACAAAGACAACTTTAGTTTAATGACCAGTTTTGGTGTAGAGATCATGTCTCTGAAGTCTCATTGCTCAATTCACTGTCATTTAGGAGTTAAATTATTTTAGTGAGGCTAAGGGCAGAGAGATAACACAGGTTTTTGGGGGCACATGGAGCTAGTAGACATTCAGCCTTATACTCAGTAAAGGAATTCAAAAATTTTAGTAACCAGTTCCGACTTTTCATATGTTTCCAACTCTACAGGGTTGGCCCAAGACATTGTGCTGCCTGGGACCAAGACTCCATCCCCTCCCCCAAGTCACGTGCACACACACATGCACATCGACACAGTCACATATATATGCCCTGGTTGGCAAAATCACATGGGCGCCAGGGTAATGCTGTTAATGCAATAAATGCTTAAACCTTATTGTTATGCCAATGAGCAGCAAATGCATAAACTTGATATATCATACGAATGAAGCAATAAATACATAAACTTGGTATATCATGCTAATGATCAGTAAATGCATGAATCCTGAATATCATGCCGAGAGCAGTACATTCTTAAACTTTGTATATCATTCCAATGAGCCACGTGTGGCTCCAAAATGTCTACTAACGCCATGTGCCCCCCAAAACCTGCCCGTGCCATCTCTCTGCCCCCAGCCTCTGTGTGTGTTATCCCTCTGCCCTTAGCCTCACTGTGTCATCTCTCTGCCACCAGCCTCTCTGTGCCATTGCTCTAACCCAGCCTCTCTGTGCCATCTCCCGGCCCCAGCCACTCTGTGCCATCTCTCTGCCCTTTGCCTCTTTGTGCCATCTCTCTGCCCTTAGCCTCCCTGAGTCATTCTTCTGCCACCAGCATCTCTATGCCATCTCTCTACCACAAGTATATCTGTGCCATCACTCTGCTGCAGCCACTCTGTGCCATCTCTCTGCCCTTTGCCTATTTGTGCCATCTCTCTGCCCTTAGCCTCCCTGTGCCATCTCTCTGCCACTAGCATCTTTGTGCCATCTCTCTGCCACCAGCATCTCTGTGCCATCTCTCTGCCTCCAGTAAATGTTACAGAGTGTGTTTGGGAGGGTGACAGTGTGTGGGAGGGTGACAGCATGTGGGGATGATGACAGACAGTGTGTGGGATGGTGATAGTGTGAAGGGGACCGTGTGTGGGATAGGTAATTTGTGTGAAGGGTGATAGTGTGTGTGGGATGATGATAGTGTGTGTAGGATGGTGACAGTGTGTGTGGGAGGGTGGTAGTAAGTGTGACAGTGTGGGAATGGTGACAGTGGGGGTGATGGTAGCATGAGGGGATGGTGACAGTGGGGGAGGTGGTAATGTGTGTGTGTGTGAATGGTAGCAGTGTGGGGGGATGGTGACAGTGTGGGAAGAGGTGACAGTGTGGGGAGTTAAAATGTGAGGGGATGGTCACAGTGTGTGAGGTGATCGTGTGGAAGGGGGACAGTGTTTGTGGGTGATAGTGAGTAGGATGGTGATAGTGTATGGGTAATAGTGTGGGGGGTGACAGTGTCTGTGGGAGGGTGTGACACACTGGGGACAGTGTGGGGATAGGGACAACGTGGGGTGGTGACAGTGTGACAGTAAGGTGGATGTTGATAGTGGGGGGATTGTGACAGTGGGGGTGGTAGTGACAGTGTGTGTGGGAGGGTGACAGTGTGGGGGGATGGTGACATTAGGTGTGGGAGGATAACAGTATGTGTGGGAAGGTGACAGTGTGGGGGGATGTGACAATATGGAAGGTGGTGAGTGTGGGGGGATAATGACAGTGTGGGAGTTGTGATAGTTGGGGTGATGGTGACAGTGTGGAAATTATTGACAGTGGGGGAGTGACAGTGGGGGTGGTAGTAGCATGAGGGGGTGGTGACAGTAGGGGGTGGTAGTGTGTGTGAATGATGGCAGTGTGATGCATAGTGACAGTGTGGGGAGATGGTGACAGTGTGGGAAGCAGTGACAGTGTGGAAGTTATAATGTGTGGGGATGGTGACAGTGTGTGTGCGAGGGTGGTAGTTAGGGGATGGTGACAGTGTGTGGAGTGATTGTGTGTGAGGGGGACAGTGTGTGTGGGTGATAGTGTGTGGGATGATGATAGTGTGTGGGTGACAGTGTTGGGGTGGTGTCAGTGTGTGTGGGAGGATGACAGTAGGGGCATGGTGACAGTGTGGGGATGGGGACGATGTGAGGTGGTGACAGTAGGGCGGATGGTGACAGTGGGGGGATGATGACAGTAGGGGTGGTAGTGACAGTGTGTGTGGGAGGGTGACAGTGTGGGGGGATGGTGACAATATGGAAGGTGGTGAGTTTTGTGGATGGTGACAGTGCGGGTGATGGTGACCAGAGACACCAGGGCCATATCATCACAGTCATGTATTACTTGTTATTGCATAATCTGTGTTTAATATGTGTACTTTATCTGTTAAATTGCAAGTGCATGATGCTTATACTTAAACTGCGTAATTAATTTAGAAATTAACTGGATATTGCTGGACTACTGTTTCATTACTGATAGCAAGTTTACTGCATTATCTGTGTACTATTACCTGTACATTACTTGCTATGTATGCTACCTTCTACTGGTCGGTAATTTCTTAGATTATCAACAGGTGGTCCTTGGACCCTGTAAGACTCACGCACATGAACAGATAATTGTTGGAGGTGTGAATAGATAGGGAGACAATGAATCATATTTGGTGGAAATGCTTGGTGATCAAACCATTCTGGTGTATGGTGGTGGAAGGATATTATAACTAAACTTTTGGATCAAATAATACAAAAGAGATCAGTCTTTTCTGTTGTTCATACTTCCAGATTCACTCTCAAAAAAACATAAATTAACTACTTTTCATGTTTAAGTAGCAGCAAAATTTGTTATAGATAGGGGATGGAAATCCAAGAAGGTCCCTACTAAAGAGGAGTTCTTATACAAGTACCCAGTAAAGAAATGTATGAAGGAATGGCTTTTATGAACTCTGATAGAATGTACAAAGATATAGAAGCATGGGATGAATTGGATGCACAGAAAGATTCTTTATATCAACAGAAATGTGTCAAACAACCCCACATTTTTTGAGTAAGAGAGAACATCATTTCATTCTTACTACATGTTCGGTTCTCAGACTCCAGCATGCATTACTTTAACATTATTTTTTCCTTCCATTGAAAAGTAATGCAATGTAATCTTCAATCAGAATCAGGGCCGGATTAACATAGCGGCTGATGGAGCTGCAGCTCCAGGCCCAGGCCCATGGAATAGACCCATTGATTTATAATAAAAAAAAAAAAAACATTTTTTTTTTTAACAGATTTTTTTTTTTCACACACTACTCTTAGGGATTCCTCCTGGCTTTTATTTTATTGGCACAGCCAGTATTTGAGGCTGCCTGGCTGGTGCCAATATTACAGTGATACTGGCAATACAAATGCTGGTATTTTTCTCAGTATAAACAAGAGATTACTATGCAATACCAGCACTGGCCAGTAGGGGTCACTGTGTGTGGAGACAGGCAGGGATAGGACGTTCCAGTAGAAACATAGAATGTGACGGCAGATAAGAACCATTCGGCTCATCTAGTCTGCCCAATTTTCTAAATACTTTCATTAGTCCCTAGTCTTATCTTATAGTTAGGATAGCCTTATGCCTATCCCACGCATGCTTAAACTCCTTTACTGTGTTAACCTCTACCACTTCAGCTGGAAGGCTATTCCATGCATCCACTACTACCCTCTCAGTAAAGTAATACTTCCTGATATTATTTTTAAACCTTTGTCCCTCTAATTTAAGACTATGTCCTCTTGTTGTGGTAGTTTTTCTTCTTTTAAATATAGTCTCCTCCTTTTACTGTGTTGATTCCCTTTATGTATTTAAATGTTTCTATCATATCCCCCCTGTCTCGTCTTTCCTCCAAGCTATACATGTTAAGATCCTTTAACCTTTCCTGGTAAGTTTTATCCCGCAATCCATGAACCAGTTTAGTAGCCCTTCTCTGAACCCTCTCTAAGGTATCAATATCCGTCTGAAGATACGGTCTCCAGTACTGTGTACAATACTCCAAGTGAGGTCTCACCAGTGTTCTGTACAATGACATGAGCACTTCCCTCTTTCTACTGCTAATACCTCTCCCTATACAACCAAGCATTCTGCTAGCATTTCCTGCTGCTCTATTACATTGTCTGCCTACCTTTAAGTCATCAGAAATAATCACCCCTAAATGCCTTTCCTCGTATGTTGAGGTTAGGACTCTATCAAATATTCTGTACTCTGCCCTTGGGTTTTTACGTCCAAGATGCATTATCTTGCACTTATGCACATTATATGTCAGTTGCCACAATTCTGACCATTTTTCTAGTTTACCTAAATCATTTGTCATTTGGCTTATCCCTCCTGGAACATCAACCCTGTTACATATCTTAGTATCATCAGCAAAAAGACATACCTTACCATCAAGACCTTCTGCAATATTACTAATAAATATATTAAAGAGAATGGGTCAATTACAGATCCCTGAGGTACCCCACTGGTGACAAGTCCAAGCTTTGAATATATTCCATTAACTACAACCCTCTGTTGCGCCTGTCACTCAGCCACTGCCTTACCGATTCAACAATATTTGAATCAAACTTAAAGATTGCAGTTTATTGATAAGCCTTCTATGTGCAACAGTGTCAAAGCCTTACTGAAATCTAGGTAAGCAATGTCTACTGCACCACCCTGATACAAATTTTAATTTACCCAATCAAAAAAATCAACCAATATTAGTTTGGCATAGTCTCCCTGAAATGAAACCATGTTGTCTCTGATCTTGAAATCCATGTGTTTTAGATGTTCATCAATCCTATCCTTTAACATGGTTTCCACCACTTTCCCCACTACTGAAGTAAGGCTTACTGGCCTATAGTTGCCCGACTCCTCCCTATTACCTTTCTTGTAAATGGGCACAACATTCGCTAACTTCCAATCTTCTTGGACTACTCCTGTTAACAATGATTGGTTAAATAAATCTGTTAATGGTTTTGCTAGTACACCACTAAGCTCTTTTAATAGCTTTGGGTGTATTCCATCAGGTCCCATTGACTTATTTGTCTTTACTTTGACAGTTGAAATAGAACCTCTTCCTCTGTAAACTCACGTGTAATAAATGACTCATTTATCCTTTTTCTTAACCGAGGTCCCTTTCCTTCATTTTCATCTGTAAATACAGAACAAAAAATATTAATTGAGGCAGTCAGCTAGACCTTTATCCTCTTCTACATACCTTCCTTCTTTTGTTTTTAATCTAACTAATCCTTGTTTTACTTTTCTTTCTCATTTATGTATCTAAAAAATGTTTTGTCCCCCTTTTTTACTGACTGTGCTATTTTCTCTTCTGTGTGTGATTTGGAAGCTCTTATAACTTGCTTAGCCTCTTTCTGCCTAATCTTATAGATCATTTTGTCTTCCTCACTCTCGGTTTTTTTATAATTCCTAAATGCTAACTTTTTATTTTTAACTATTTTGGACACATCTGCGGAGTACCACAGTGGTTTCTTTAATTTTTTGCTTTTACTGACAAGCCTAATGCAATTTTCTGTTGCCTTCAATAGTGCAACTTTTAAACAATCCCATTTCTCTTGGACTCCATTTAAATTGCTCCAGTCTGCTAATGACTCCTCTACCCATATTCTAGTTTTAGAAAAGTCTGTTTTTCTAAAGTCTAAAACTTTTGTTTTTGTGTGGTGTGACTCAGTCACTGTTCTTATATTAAACCACACTGACTGATGATCACTGGATCCTAAACTTTCACCTACAGTAATATCTGATACCAAATCTCCATTTGTTAACACTAAATCTAGTATGGCCTCTTTACGAGTTGGCTCCTCAACAACTTGTTTTAGAGACAATCCCAGTGGGGAGTTTAGAATATGTGTGCTCCTGGCACAAGTAGCTAATTTTGTTTTCCAATTTACATCAGGAAGATTAAAGTCACCCATGATGATAACTTCCCCCTTCATTGTCATTTTAGCTATTTCCTCAACTAGTAGATTATCTAACTCTTCAATTTGTCCTGGGGGCCTATAAATCACACCTACGAGTTACTGTGTGATTACCAAATTCTAACGTAGCCCAAACGGACTCTATGTTTGCCTCACTAACTTTTATTAGGCTAGATTTTATGCTATCCTTCATATACAAGGCCACCCCTCCCCCTTTCTTGCAGCCCTATCTTTCCCTATATAAAGAAAGAGTACCCTGGTATTGCTATGTCCCAGTCATTTTTCTCATTGTACCATGTCTCAGTAACAGCGACTAAATCTACACTATCAGTTGCCATTATTGCCACAAGTTCATGAATCTTATTCCCTAAACTGCGAGCATTTGTAGACATGACTCTAAGCTTATCATTTTTTAACACACTTGCTACAGGCACCTTCTGTCCTTGCTTTGGGGGACAATTGGATTGATGTTTTATCACCCTTTTGCCCCCCCCTCCTAGTTTAAATACATCCTAGCAAAACCTCTGAACTGCTCACTGAGAACATTTGTTCCCTTTTGAGAAAGATGCAAACCATCTTTTTTGTACAGTTTATCTCCATTCCAAACAGAGCTACCATGAGAAATAAAGCCAAATCCTTGCTCCCGACACCATTCACCAAGCCACAAATTAAAGTCCCTAATACGCATCCGCCTGTCGTTCTGAGTGTTATGCACAGGCAGAACTTCAGAGAATTACAGTGTGGAAGCAACCTGCCGTATATCATTGGCAAAAACATTAAAAACTTCCTTAACCTCTGAAACCTCATTGCAAGCCAAGTCATTTGTCCCTAGATGGACAAGTACATCCAATTCCCCTTCCTGCTTTGCTTGCTTAACAATATTACAGATACGTCTCCTGTCTCTGTGAGCAGTAGCTCTGGGAAGACACCTCAAAAGACCACCATTGTCCATCTCCACACCTCTTATAATGGAATCCCCCAACAACTGCTTTCTATTAGGCCTCACCATAGTCTCCAAGCCGGTCTCCACAACACCACTAGTCTCAGTGCCTCTCTCCACAACACCACTAGTCTCAGTGCCTCTCTCCACAACACCACTAGCCTCAGTGCCTCTCTCCACAACACCACTAGCCTCAGTGCCTCTCTCCACAACACCACTAGCCTCAGTGCCTCTCTCCACAACACCACTAGCCTCAGTGCCTCTTTCCACAACACCACTAGCCTCAGTGCTTCTCTCCACAACACCACTAGCCTCAGTGCCTCTCTCCTCAACACCACTAGCCTTGGTGCCTCTCTCCACAACACCACTAGCCTCAGTGCCTTTCTCCACAACACCACTAGCCTCAGTGCCTCTCTCCTCAACACCACTAGCCTTGGTGCCTCTCTCCACAACACCATTACACTCTGAAATTGCAGATAATGAATTATGAAGAGCAACAGACTGTGCAAAATGCCTTTTATCCACAACTCTAAGTCTAACAGATCCTACAGTAATCCATCTGCCATTCCTAGTATGTCTCTGCGGCAGTGGCTTTGCAGCAGTTCCAGTCTGAGTTTGTTCACCAGATAATCTACAAATCTCAGACTTCAAAAATACAATCTCCTGCCGCAAGATAGAGAACTGTCTACAGATTAGACGACAACCAAACCTCCAAAAAGTGGAATGTAAAACAAATGCATAGCAACTATTACACTGAACTAAGTCTGCCATTCCAATTAGGAGAATAATTTAAATCTAACAAATCTTAACTTTGTATTTATCCTCCTGAATACCTCAGATTACCTCCAGTTTATCTCCAGAATATCTCCAACTACACACTTAGAAACAGCACTCTCCAGAATATCTCCAACTACACACTTAGAAACAGCACTCTCCAGAATATCTCCAACTACACACTTAGAAACAGCACTCTCCAGAATATCTCCAACTACACACTTAGAAACAGCACTCTCCAGAATATCTCCAACTACACACTTAGAAACAGCACTCTCCAGAATAGAAACAGCACTTAGAAGTAGCACCAAGCTATATTAGACAAGCTAATGACAACAAGCCTTATATAACTCCTAAAATCACCACCCACTAGGAATGTTTAACACCTGGGTAGGCCTCTGCTTATTTGCAAACAATAGCTAATTAACCAGCAATCAATAGCAGGTAACTAGCTTAATCAAATCAAATGCCTTATAATTACCAACAGGAATTCAAACCTTGTGCAATCAGTAACCTTTTCCTACAGATGAATCTTACCTGTAACAGTAGAAAAGAAAGCTCTTAGCACAACTCTTAGACAGTTGAAGCTTCTGTAAAAATCTCCAGAATATCTCCAACTACACACTTAGAAGCAACACTTAGGTGAAGCAACCAAGCTATATTAGCAAAGCTAATGACAACAAGCCTTATATAACTCGTAAAATCACCACCCACTAGGAATGTTTAACATCTGGGTAGGCCTCTGCTTATTTGCAAACAATAGCTAATTAACCAGCAATCAATAGCAAGTAACTAGCTTAATCAAATCAAATGCCTTATAATTACCAAAAGAAATTCAAACCTTATGCAATCAGTAACCTTTTCCTACAGATGAATCTTACCTGTAACAGTAGAAAAGAAAGCTCTTAGCACAACTCTTAGACAGTTGAAGCTTCTGTAAAACTCTCCAGAATATCTCCAACTACACACTTAGAAACAGCACTTAGAGGTAGCACCAAGCTATATTAGACAAGCTAATGACAACAAGCCTTATATAACTCCTAAAATCACCACCCACTAGGAATGTTTAACACCTGGGTAGGCCTCTGCTTAT